ACTACCACATAGAAAACTTAGAATGAAATCTTTACTGAAATATTCCAGATATTGCAAAACTATCTTCTGTTCCTCTCTAGAGAATAATTTTACCCATAACAACTAACCTTTTTTTTTCTACACTGGCAATGTTCCTGAAGTTAGATAGATTGGGTCTTTTGAAGTGGAATGAGTCTGGGATGGCCTCTTCTTCAAATAATCTCTAACGAGATTCTATTTTGTTTCTCTAGGGAGTGCTTTCACTGAGGTGGGAAAGGGAGGCTCCATGGGTAATGTTAACCTATGCAAATTTACTAAGTGGTGGTAGTTGCTAAACTTTTTGGTTCTCATTCTGACGCAGTGTCCTGAATTTGCTCTTTTCCTGTGAGTATACTCTACCCTGTTGCACACCCCATTGTCATGTGAATGTATGTTTACCATAGGTCTTTAACCTGTCCTCCCCAAGAAGACAAAGCAAACAGATGTACATGAAGCTATCTTATGCAGTAAAAATGTGAAATTCGAGCGTTGCTTTGCAAGTATTGTATAAATAACAAGTCTGTAAACAAATTTCTTATGTAAGCATACAGGGGAATAAAGACTTTTATCTGTTCAAATGAGAGCATGATGTTTAGAGATGTAAATAATTCGAAATAGCTACTGTTGTCCTGAGCTGAAAACCTACTTTTGCTGAAAGAATTTAATCTCACTATTGAATGATAGTAAATACCAGTGCACAAGAAAAATGTGGACACATGTGAGAGAGACACCAAAGACATTTGAGTCATAGCCACACTGGAGAATAAAATTTCTCATGGTCATGTAGAACAAAACACCTATGAGCCTGCGTTTGCGTGGATCAGACCTGGGGTTATAAATTGCAGGGCAAATTTGCAGCTGCTCTTCTCTAGTTTGATCTTAGTATACTCAGGCTTATTTAAGTGAACATTTTAGGTTCAGAAGAACAACTGTGCCCAGTGAGAAATTGCTCTTAGTTAATTGTCTTTAGGCTTGAGAGGCACAGCATCTACAGCCACTAATGGCCCAGATCCACTTGTGAGTTTCACTGTAGCTACCCTACATATGGTAGAACCAAATGCTTACATTTATTTTCAAAGTCAATAAGCTATGAAAATCATTAGGTTAGTGTATATCCCTTAATTCTTTGATTTGGTTCTAAGACTGAATTTCAGCTGATGTTGCATTTTTGAAGTTTCTGCAAAGGGCTGTTGGGCTTCCTGTATTTACTAACTACATGAAAAAGTTTCTCAATATTCTGTATCTTTAAGTTATTGACAAGAATTATGTCTTTGCTGTTCCCTTTAACTGTTATTTCAGTTCATGGGGTGGAGGAAAAAATTAAGGAACATTTTGCCTGAAATTCAAGTCTTTGAATTTTAATTCTATAGACCATTCTGGTGACCCTTACTTTGTCAATCAGATAAAATTTCCCGAATCAGCCCATCCAGAATCATCCAGCACTTATTTTTGGTTGCTTTGGAAGTCAGCAGGGACTGGTGAGGCCAGTTATCAAGTCATTTAGGTATTTTGGGGACTTCTTTGCTATTCCCTGAAACACATGAGTTTTTATTGAAATCTGTGTAACTTGGAGCCTAAAAATAGACAAAAATGGAGTTGTCACTAAAGTAAATAACAAAAAGTGTGCTTTATTCTTGCACATAGTCCTACAAGGCAAGAAAAAAAGTGTGTTTTGAGTTCTTAATTTGATGTGCTAAGTCAAAAATAAAAAGAGCCATGACCCAGTTTGAGAGAATTATAACAAAATGCCTAACTTAGGCTCTATGCTAAGTAAGATCCTTGTATAGATTGTGAGGCCAGACTCTGAGGCCAGGACCCTGAGAACAGGCCTGAGTTTTGTGGTCACAAATTATCTGCTATGCATTTGATTGATCACCAAAAGAACCAGTCCAAGACTTGAGGTTAAATTGATATAAACCCTTCATTGCTATTAGACAATTACATCAAATAGGTTTTCCTGTTTGTACAAGGCTACCTTCATATGCAATGACTCTTCACCCTAAAAACACATTTTCCCAAGAACACATTCACGTATTACAAAAAAGACCTTTAACAGCTAACAAGACTTCATGTCTATGTTCTGTTTACAGTTATTTGAAATCTCTTTTATCTACCTTGTTTCTTCGGCAACCATTCCCAGAATTCCCAAAGGGAATGTAAATGTCTGGGCTTCTCCATATTTTCTGGCATTTCTTTGGCCTTTGGAGTGGCAGGCTTGGAAAGTGCAACAAGCAGTTATAGTGTGTGCTCTTTGCATCAGTCACTCTGCAACTCCTCCCAAAAGACTGGAACGCTTCGGAGGCTTCATAATGAAGATCCACTAAATATACTTTTCCAGTCTTAAAAGGCAGATTGATACTGGAAGAGAGAAAAGAAATAGCTCTAGTCCCTGTTTTGAAGGTCAGGAGACTAGTTTTCCCTTCAAGCTAGACATTATAATTGTGGTTTTTTGTGCGTGTGAACTTTTGAAAGTTGTTGTTATTAAATATGATTTATCCCATTATTCACCAGGAAGGCCCTAGACTGTCTGAGTCGAAGGGCTTTCCAAATGGTCTTTGACCAGAAGTCCTCTTTTTAACAGAAATAGTCTTGATGGGTTAGGCATGTTCTTCCAGTCTGACTCTGGATATGGACCACTCCTAGACCCAAACACCTGGGACTTCACAGTTCTCAAAATGGAATTTAGCACTGCAGGCATCCCAAGCACTCCTGAATCACTTTAGTCAAGCCAATGACTTGAAATCATGTGGGTCATTAATCAACATGAACACCATTTTGAGTGCAGTTAGGTTTGGTTTTGGTTTGGTTTTGGATTTGGGGAAATTTAAATTGAGTTTAGTCAAACCAACTTCTTTTTGGTAGACTCTGTACACAAGTTTTTGGACTGAATTCAATTTAAGTTTCAAAAAAATACTCTAGTTAAAATAATGTTCACTTTGATTATTGATCCATACGATGCCAGAGTTAGTCACTGGCTTAAAACTGAATTTTCCATTTATTTTTCCTAAAAGATATTTTGACTCCCACATCAACTTTCAGGATAGTTTTGGAAGATGACACATTGTCGTCTTGCTAACATGCCCTCTTGCTAACATGTGCCTTAATTTTGGCAATGGAAACTTTGTCTAGCTGTTGATACACAAGAAAGTAATACAAGGCATTTTAGTGGCCTCTTATACTTGAAGATGGTGAATTTTATTTTAGAAAAATTTTTTTCCTCCTTTTCATTTGAATTTCACTCAGAAATATCTTCTGGGTACCACCAAGACAGATCTGATATCAGTACGCTTGCCTGAGAAATTAGGATGTGTCTTTCCACACTTATTCCTGGGGGGAGATGTTCTCGTTTCCTGTAAGCTGATTGGTGCTTTTGCATCACTATGTAACTGTATTTATTAAAGTTTTAATGCAAGGAGAAATTTATTCTCTTTAAAATCACATTTTTAAAATGTTCTTCAGAAAGCCATTTTGCACCAATATAGAATTTAACTTAAAATTTGAATTTGGAACTCATTGAATGCACTCTACCTATTAGAAAGAGAAATTAAAATGGGTGAAAAAATTGCTTAGTTCTGAAAACAATATTTAAGGTCAGAACTGTTTTTAAAAGAACTCTGCTGAAAAGTTACAGGATTCAGAGAAACAGTATTTTTATACCTTATCTTATAAAATGTTCAGACCTCTCTTTGCATTCTCTTTACAGTGTAATATCTCTCTAACTAACTGGTTTCCCAATAAACTGACTTTGATGTCTTTTTGCTGTGTTCTGTGTGCTTAATTCAAGCAGAAACTTGAGCAGGGGATAATTTTTAGTAGAAATTGCTGCATAGAGAAATTGCTCACATAGAAGGGGAGAGGGCCGCTGTGGGAGGGGATGATGGAATTTCCACCTATACAGATGTTTTGAGTCATCTGGCTGTAAATCATGGTACCAAATATTCTAATCCCGATGGGTTGGGGAACTCCATTGGTATCTCTTTATTGAGCCCATGATGAAATGATACTTTACCCCCCACCACCCTTTGTCTGGATTCTTCTTGCTTAGTTACATATGCCTTTTTCCTGCCCTCTTGCTAACATGTGCCCAATGACATACTTCTAACCTGCTAATATTTCTTGGAAGGTAAGCTCTCTTGCATTCTGATAATTGTGTATTTGATTTTAAAAGCCAGAGCACTCTGAGGCACCTCTACCTCAAGAGCTATAGACTGGTATATTGGAGTTTTCTGATACTTCTGTAATTACTATGCATTTTACTTCTGCTTAAAGATCTTAATGATGGATTCATTTAAGCAGAAGAGATCTTTGCTGACTTAGAAGACTGAAAACAAAATTACAGGGCAACTCCAACTGAAGGTGACTTTATTCAGTGTGATTTTGATTCCATATCCTTCCCTTAGACAGTACCTTCAGTATTTGTACATGTGCACTCTGGTGCTCTTTGAGTATTGCTTGTGATATAAATTATCAAGCAAACTTGGATTTACTGAGCCGTGATGCTCTGCTTCTTTACAAAGTGTCTCCCTCTGCAGGTGGAGCAGATGGCTAGAGGCCAGATACTGAATTGAATTCATTCCCAGACAAAGTTTCTGCATAATCCAGAACTGTCATGGTTTTGTGGAGATGAATAACTGGGGTTTTTTAATTGCATTATGAGCCAGTGCCAGGTAGAGCAGGTGTCTGTGCCTGGCCCCTTGAGTAGGAGCATTGTATAGTAATGCTGAATGTCTGTGTGCCTAACATCTCCATCTCCTTTCCTGCATATTGTGCCTTTCATGTTCCAAACTGTGAGATAGTGGTTGGTTGTGTTGCAGTTTGTGTGCAGTTTCCTTTGCCTGACTTTTATTTTTCTATTTTTTCCTTTTCCATTTTCAACATCTATTATTTGGCCCCACGTTGTTTCTGCCACGAGTTGACCATTAAGTGTTCCACCAAGAGTTAAAATGACCTACACATTAACTCTGCATTTTATGCTTTTCTAGGTCTCCAGAGAGAGCCCAATCCCCGTCCTGTTACCACTGTAGAGCACTTTAAAGACTCAGCGGGCGTTAAAGGCCTTCCCCTGTATCCAGACCCCTCGAGAATACCTGCCGCAAAGACTCAAAACAACGTAGAATCTGACTACTTGGCCAGAGATGGCCCTTCAAGCAACAGTTCTTTCCATAGCAGTGAAGAGGAAGGGACTGACCTGGAGGGAGACATACTAGACTGCAGTGGGTCTCGACCTCTCCTCCTGGAGTCCGAAGAGGAGGACGAGAACTGCAAACCTCCCCAGGGGAAGCTGGGAGGAGCCAGTCCATTCGCACAGCCTGAAGTCTCTGCTGAACAAGCAAAAGCAGTGCGAGGTGAAAGAAAGAGCCAGTTCCAGGCCCGCCCACAGCTAGCTGCTGATGGTCTTGGTGAGCCAGATGTTTTTGCCACAGCCCCCTTTAGGAGCTCAAGGGTTCCAGCTGATGACATGGACATTTTCTCCAAAGCCCCATTTGTCTCCAAGGGCAGTGTGACTCCCTCCCAGCCAGAGGAGGTGGATGTATTCTTGAGAGCTCCTTTTACCAAGAAGAAAAGCATGGAGGAATTACCAGTTGCCCAGAGCTCCTCCCAGGAGCTGCCTGCACAGGCCAGTCTCCTCAGTCAGGCAGGGGATGTCCCTCTGTTCTCAGGCCGTGAGAGAGCAGGGTTTTCCTGCGTTCAAGCTCAGTATTCCATGGCTGGTTTTGTGCAACAATCTAACCTCCCCTCCCATTCTTTGCAAGCCCCAGACCATCTTGACAGCATCTCTCCCACGGGATCCTCCGTGGAACCTGGAAGCCATTCTAATGACAGAAACAAAGGACCTCAGCCCCTTAAAGAAGCCATCTCAGGACCAGTGGCTGGCAAACCATTCCGCCCCCAATCGTTATCCAAATATTCACGTCACTATAGCCCAGAAGATGAGCCAAGTCCAGAAGTCCAGCCCATTGCTGCCTACAAAATTGTTTCACAGACCAATAAGCAGTCAATAGCTGGCTCTGTTTCCATCACATCCCTTTCCTCCAGGACTCGAGAGTTGCCAGCTACTGATCCTTTTGCTTTAGCACCCTTTCCTTCCAAAGCAGGCAAGCAGAAACCTTAGGAGCAGTACCTGAGCCTTAGGCCTCTCTCTCTACCCACCCCACCAATACCTCCCACGCCACTCCTTCCTGAGCCTTCCCAAGAAAAAATATTACCAATTATTATCTTTCAATCATTAAGTCAGCAATCTCAGTTGCAGAGATGCTGAGATGAAGCTCCTTTAAGTTACGCCTATTTCTTTTGTTTCTATTGAGTTCTGGCCTTTCAGGCACTTCTATTTCCTTCATAGAGGCCTCCCACCTCCACCAAAAACTCTACTTTTTGTTTTGTGTTAAACCCAGAAACTGTTTTAATCTAGGAATACTTTAGCCAGATCCCCAGGGGCCAAAACTCTTGATAGTTTTAATTCCTGCAGCTCCTGTTGAGTCATGTTCATTGAAGAGTCAAGAAGAATTCCTCCAGGACCTGATTTAAAACTCTTTAAAAGGAGAGATTTCTAGAAAAAAAGAGCAATATAGAAGTCCTGTGCATCAAGAGGAAGTGTAATACTGCAGCTACTAATCATTCCTGTAGAACCAGCAGCTCATGAAGGATTTCGTGCATCGGAGTCTGTGCAAGCCAGGCTGGCCCTTGTGCATAAACGTCTGTGGGAGTGTGATGTGCGTCAGAGTCTATCTTAGGTAAAAATGTGCACATATGGGAGAACTGTGCTTATATTCAATCATCTGGGCAAGGACTTCCCCACATCACACTTTTCAAATTAGTATGGATGCATAGGCTGTGTGTGTGTGTGTGTGTTGTACAGGAAGCATTTTCCTTTAGGTAAATCCTATCCCATCACACCTACCTCTGTAGTTGAATCACTCATTTACTGGCAGTTGCCTACTGACCTAACTGACTTGAACCATGTTTTTATTTAGTTTTATTCTCAACGGAATCAAACTCATTGGAAGATGTAGGAAAACCTTGCTGGGACTAAGATTACACAGTAGATTTCTTTTCTGGAATTTGCTCCTTATTATTAACAGCTTCTATTTACTAAGCTGCAGATGTAGCTCAAAGGTAGAGCACTTGTTTACTTTGCCCAAGGCCCAGGATTCTATCCCTGGTATGGGGGAGAAGAAGTACAAATTGCATTTACCTTGTGATGAAAAGTTGTCTATTTTTCCTCACAATAATAGACAAGAACACAATGCAGTCACTATAGAATCGTGAGTCTTAAGCTACAAACTAGATTTGCTTGTTTTGTTTTGTCCCTTGTCCTTGCCACCTTTCTTTGCTCCCTTTTGAGGAAAGATCTGAGACACTAAATAAATTTGTCTGGAAGAAGGGAAAATAGCTGAATCAGCTAGTGATTATAAACTTTACATTCTGTATGCTCTCTAGATGTTAAAGTAGGGCAGACACAGGTGACTGGCTTATGTTTCTGAAAGTGTCTTTTATTTCTGGAAGACCTGAGTCATTGCTATCTTTTTTCATATGCTTTATTTTTAGTGCCCTAAAATCAAACTTATGTGCCCATGGGAAGATTTTTGCTGAGAAAGTTCAGTTTAATGGAAAAAGTTGCTGCATCAAGTTTCAACTTGAGAGCTTCTAGTAAATGTTAGCAATTTCTCCTTAATGGGAGCGGTTGAAGGAGTTGTGTACCAAACCAGATTAGCAATTTAAGAATTACTGGGAATTCATCCCAAAAGCCTAAATGCCACGCTCCACTACAATTGATTAGGTGTTCTCTTGAAGATGGGGAGGCTTAGTGGTAGAGCGTATGCTTAGCATACACAAAGCCCTGGGTTTGTTCCAAAGAACCAAAAAATAAAATTCAGAGATCTTGACATTAAAGTAAGAATCATACTTTTCAAAACTCATATATTTCTTCTCCCTCCCCCCCTCCCCCACCCTCTTCTCTCCTGTTTGTTTGTTGTTGGTTTTTTTTTTTCTCTTTCAATTCTAGTGATTGAACCCCAGGTCTCACACTTGCTAGGCAAGGTCTCTATCACTGAGCTCCATAGCCCAACACTTTTTTAAAAATTAATTTCCATCTATTGCTAGGGTCCCAGTTAAAATATAAACTTAAGTTTGGGTCAGAGCTACCAGCAGTGGTTTCCCAACCAAGGTCTCAACCATACATGAAACCTGTTTGTTCTAACAGTTTGCTTTCTCAATTATTATTTTTTATTTTTCTGTATAACAATGGATGGAAAATTGTCTTTCCATTGAAAGGGTTTGGCTAATGTGCATGGACCTTTGCACCCTAAACTCTTTATGGTAGTTATCAAGTGAAATCCTCAAAGGCATGCCTAAGAGGAAGAGAATACTCAGGGAGTGTTCTCACCTGAAATCACAAATTCTTGTTAGGTCTGTGATGCACAGTTGTAATCAAGCTACTTGGGACGTTTAGTCTGGAGGATTATTTGAGTCAAGGATTTCAAGAACACACTGAATAGCATATATTTGTCTTTAAAAAAGAACTTTAGAGAAAGAAAGAAAAACTCTTAAAAATGGAAGGGCATCCTAATTCATTCTTCTGAATATTCAAGATTATTTCATAACCATCCTCCAAGATGTTTTTTCTTGATTGTTCCTCCCAATCAAGTGGGCGTTTTAATTCTCAAGGTACAAATCAGAATGGAATCATAGTGATTTTATTATGTAGTAGAATCATTTGGGAAGCATGGGCTTATATCCCTCTTTTACTCTGTTGGAAACCTACAATAGGCAGAAACTACATGCCTTTTTTGAATAGGAAAATGAATGTAACTATTTTTTTTCTACTCAGTGATTCATGAAGACATTTTGTACATTAATTATTAATAATGGTGAATTCTGAAGACAAGTACTAAGGTAGGGTTTTACTACTGGTTGTTTTTGGATCATACAGGGTAAATCTATTATTTAAAAATTAAGTGCCCTTACTAGGGGTCTTCCTGAATCTGGAAATCTGAAAAATTTCATTGTAAGGGGAATCAGGAGTGCTCGGGGTGCTATCTATTAGTAGCAATACATGTTTCCAGTATCTATACTGTAACAATTTAAAAGGAAAAAGAAAATACATGGTCCACAAAATACTATTTTTAAAATTTGTGTTGTGTGTTATTTACACATTTGGTAAGTACAGGAATCTGTAACCATTTCAGTGGAAAGCAATGAGCAGGCATATATTTAGAGCAGTGAGCCACAACATGCACTGATGAACTCTTAAAGAATAATGCCTGATAACAGGTACTATTGAATTAATGAAGGTAGCTGCCATATTTCACCATTTTCTTCACTGGATTTATATACAGTTCTTGAGCTCCAAATCCATGGTTAAATTACAAAGATGAAAAAACAGAATTTGATACTGAGGAAAATGCTGATAAGCTGATAAGATCACTGTTGGCAGATCTCATATGTAGGCAGATATGTATGTTTATAGGAGCAGGTTGTATCTGAGTTTAATCTGGTAGCTAAAGACTTCTAAACTTTAAACAAAGATAGTAGTATCTTACTGGCTTACTGTTTAGTAAGCTTTAGAATATGTACACATCAATATTTTCAACTACCTGGTGAACATTTCACTGATACCTAAAGTGTAGCTTTACATATAATCATCAGAGTGACTTGATAATAAAAACTTAGTATTTTTCTTTTATAAAGAAAAATAATCAGAACATGTCAGATTATGTAATTGTATACATTATATCAAATAGGAAATTTTATCATAGGAAATCAAAGAAGAGAGATGCAGTACTCTGCAAAGTAGGAAGGATATAATAAAATGAAGTCTTTTGTCCTTTAAAAAATTATTCTCTGCCATCTCTTTGGAGTTGAAACTGGAGAACACATTTCAGTCAGTTCTGAAATGGCCACTAGTCACACAGCAATTCTATCTGAGAAATTTGGAATGCAGATTATTTTGATGAGGGGTCCATAGAAGCATCACAGAAAAAGATGGCGGGCGCCCCTTGTGGATGTCTACAACAGACTCAGATTCCAATCCTCCAGTCCTTGTCTAAAGGAGTAAACTGACTGTTTTAAGTGGAATCAGTATTTTTTCCAGGGGCTGGGATTTAGCTCAGCGGCATAAGCGCCTGCCTTGCAAGCAGGCAGTCATGAGTTCGATCCCTGGTACCGATAAAAATGAAAAAGACAAAAAAAAAAAAAAAGAATATTTTTTCCATTGCCTTTGTCAACTAAGACTTGTTTTTCTAACCATCAGAACACTTAAAGACTTGTTAATGAAAATCTCGCAGAATGGTTAGGAATAAAAAGCAGTCAGAAACTTTTTGTTCTATCCTAGGAGGTCTTATACCAATATCATTTATGCACTCACCATTCCCCTGTTTTTACCATATCCATAAGTGGATGCTGAGATGTACTGTTGAACATTGTCTTATTATTTATGTTTTATTTTATTTTTATTAGTTGGCTCCCTTGTTACAGTAAATAGTATAAGTTTCAGTCCAGCCTGTGACAATCTCACCAAATAACAGTGAAATGGCTCACATTCTCATTTCTCTTGACTAGAAAACAGCAAGATTGATTAGCTAGATGCCACCCTTACTCCGTGGAGACCCAGCTCCTCCTTTCTCTCACCCCAGAGTGCTCTAGAGTGCAGGACCTAGTTTATGTGTGAAGGGACTCTGGACTAACTGGTAAAAGGGGCTAAATGTTAACTACACATGGGTTGGTCCAATGATGACATAATTTGTAATTCCATAAATTTAGTCTGAGCTATATCCCAGCAAACTCTTAGGTGTGACAGTTTTGCATTTGTAATGATATTCTTGAAATCAAGTCAGTGTTCTCTGAATTGCATTGTAAAACAACTATATGATGGGCTGGGGATACAGCTCAGTGGCACAAGCGCCTGCCTGGCAAGCACAAGGTCATGAGTTCAATCCCTGGTACCAAAAAAAACAAAAAACAAAAAAAAAAGTACAAGGCAAGGAATTGCAGAAATGGTTTTTACCAACATTAGTTGCTTTATAGCTGAGGGTGTAGTTCAGTGGTAAAATACATGACTAGCATGCAAAAGGTCCTATGTTTAATTGCTAGTGGAAAAGAAGGGATAGATTAGACTTTGGGGTGAAGGGATACAGTGTAGCCATTTCACGAAAATCAGTTGTAGTCTCTGAATCTACCAAAGATTCCTGTTTGAGGAGTGTGAATGGAGTGTGCTGTGTGTCTGCCTGTGTGCCTGCACTTGCATCCCCGTGCTTGCTTGCATAGTATTAATTGCACTCCCAATAAACGCATCCAAAGAATATTGAGAAGTGACCACGAAGTATCTGGCACGACTACGTTCAACTCCCTTTGCCAAAAACTCAAAATTAGAACCAGAGCTGTTTTCAATAGAGATGGGGGCAATTGGCTCCTCACTGCCTTAGCCTACTACCCAAGTAAGCTGATCTGCAAGGTGAGACTTGGTAGGGATTGTCCGATCCGAAGGACTCATTGGTAGCGTTTAGAGGGCAGTAGTGACCAGATGCCTCAAGATCTGCAAGATGTTAGTTTAAATGAGGGAACATTTAATGTCACTTTTAGAGACTAGAAACCGGACAGTAAAGGACAAGGACCATGCTCATGCTGTGGAGAAAAGGTGAACTCTGGTGACTACTAGGTTTGACTCAGTAAGGGAATCTGTCCTGATACAAAGAATATTGAGAGCATCAGGTCTTAGAAAAGAGAAATGCACAATCTCAAGGGCTGTGAACAAGGAAAAGGACTGGGGAAACAGTCCATCTTAACAATTTTTGCAATACCTCTTATTCTCAGACTATTGGATTTACGTTATTGCACTCTTGGTGTGATCTATCTTATGTATCTGATAGTTTTATGAGTAATTGTTTTGAGTTGTAAACTCCTATGTACTTTATTAAAACAAACCTAATTAAATGACTATACCTTGCGTTTTTTTTCTTAAAATCTTCCTTGAAATGAAGGAATATATAGGCATCTTTCACTAATAAGGCCTGGTACATTATCAACATTCCTAAAGAGAGACCAACATTAACAAAAAGAGAAGTCTTGGGAAAAAAATGAAACTAGGAATTTTAAAAATTCTTCCTGTGAGAGTGAGCCTGCCTGTTCATTTCCTTTCCAAATTTGGGAAAGTAACAGTCACATTAGATTGAACTTTAATGAGCTCGAATTTAACATGATTCAGAGAGAGCTGGCAGTATCCTGAGTTCAGAGAGATGGTGCTCAAAGATCCAGGAATCACATGGATAATGCTACAGTTGCTTTTTTTTTCTGAAAATTTAAGGTCTAAATGTAGAGTCACCTAATGCTATAATACGAAGTTCTTAGGGTTTTTATATTTCAAGTCACTGTTAATCTGAAAGCCAGCCTTCCTATCCTTAACTGTACACCTGCTCTTGCGAAGGCCTTTTCAGATTCACACTGAGTTTTCTGCAAGGTGTGGGATATGGCTTGGCCCTGCCTGCAAGTGAGAAACTAACTGCCCTACGGTGGGCTGTGTTTGCACTCACCCTTCTGTGGCTCACTTGCCCCTGAAACTGGTTAATAAGACATCAGCCAGAGAGGAGCTGTCCTATATTGCCTCCCTAGAGCAAGGCAGGAGAAACCAAAGAAAAGCCAAGATCAGATGGTTTTGATCTGTTTCTCTAGGTGGAAGACAGCTCTTTTCTCCCCTTACTATTTTCCCTTATACTATATTAATGTTAAATCAGGGCTCGGATTAGCATAAGAGGCCAAGCAGTTCCTCAGTCTGCTCTTAACGTAAGTTTGTTGCCTACAGGCCCTAAAGAAGTGTCTATTCCTTGCTGCATGCAGCCCAGGTCTCTAGCAGTGGAATTTGAGGACCAGGACCAGTGTCTAAGATAGTGAAACGAGTCATTCTACCAAATTCCCAAGTCACATCCTCTTTTGGAGCAGGACGTTTTGTCCCTAAGGGCAGACTTTATTTTTCATTATTTAGAGAAAACTGAAATTATCAGAGGGAAATTGTTCACAGTTTTCTTACTAACAAATTCACCTTTTATTCAGTTTTAATAAATGTAATCTGCAGAAACAATTAAAATTTAAAATAGCTAAAATTATACCTGGTTAAAAATTGATGAAGCTAACTGGATATGTTGACATACCATATTTTGGAGGCTGAAGAAAGAGGATTACACGTTCAATTCCAGCTTGGGCAATTTAAGCATTTATTGTGACTCTGTCTCAAATTTTTAAAAAAGGAGTACTTGGGATGTAGCTCAATGTAAAGGCCCTGGTTTTGATCAGCAGTACTGGAAAAATAAATTGGAATTTAATAGGTATAGTGGCTACAAGAGAACTCAGTTACAAAAAAATATCATTAGTAAAACGAACCAAAAATAGACTCATAAATCTCCATTAATGGAAATCTCAAAGTACACATAGAAAAGACTAGATCTCGATGAAAATAATTATAATAAAATGAAAATGTACCAGAAACTGATTCAAGAATTAAATTACCCTAACAATTGCTTATTAGAGTTTTCCCACATATCTATGTCCTAATCTTCAGAATGTTAACTTACGTAGCGAAAAGATTTAGCAGATGTGATTAAGGATTTTGAGAAACAGAAATTATTCTCCATTATCGGATGGGGTTTAAGGTAGTCACAGAAACATTTTTATTGTCTGGTTTGTTTGGGTTTTTGTTTTTTCAGACAGAGTCTCACTATGTGGTTCAGGCTGGCCTTGAACTCACAGCAGTCTTCCTGCTCCACACTCCCCAGTAGTGGGATTTACAAGTGTGTGGCAGCGCACCTCACAGTTAGGAAGGTAGCAGTGGGATGATTGGAGGATGCGCTACATCTGTTTTGTTGGATTTTTTTTTTTTTTTTGAGATGGTGTTTCACTGTATTTCTAAGCTGGCCCCTAACTGCTAGGCTCAAGACACCTTTCTCAACCTGCCAAGTAGCTGGGTCTATAGGCTTACATAACTGTGCCAAGCTCAGAAGATGCACTTTGAGGGTGGAGGAAGCCAAGAACTTTAAGCAACATAGCCAACACAACCTGAAAGACAAGGAAATAGTCTACCCTTAAAACCTCTTGAAGGTATGTTGACACCTTGTCTTTTGCCCATGAAAATTATTTCAAAGTTCTGACCTCCAGGCTGAGAAAAAATTTACTTTAATCCCCTAAGTGGGGTGGTAACTTGCTACCTCAGCAATAGGAAAACAATAACCATGTTAGCTGGATTAGTTTGATTAACCAGTAACAGTGATGCCACCATGTGGTAATAGCACAGTTCCCTCAGCCCAAATAGACTTCAATTTGAGGGTCTCTTTGATGACCCCGCATCCCCCACCCCACGCAACACTGGGGATTAAACCCAGGAGTCTCACACTGAGCTGCGCCTATAGAACCGTCTTCTAAAAAAGTTTTTTTTTTTAATTTTGAGACAGAGTCTTGCTAAATTGCCCAAGCTGGGCTCAGATTTATCATCCTCCAGCCTCAGTTTTGTAGAATGCTGAGATGATAGATGTGGGCCACCTTACCTGGCTCCTGAGCACTTCCAACACCCAGTTATTAGTATCTGGATACTATAAATCAGGTTTCTGAGGAGAAATGGCTGATTCTAGGGCTGAAACAGGAAATACAGTAGATGATTCGGGAGCATCTATGGTGTAGCAAAGCCAGAAAGTTGTGCTTAAAAAAGGAAAGTCACAGGGACACACGAGCCAACTTGAAAGAACGTCCAAGGTTAAAACTAAAACAATTTGGAGCAATAAAATAAATACTATAGTATTAATTGTAACAAGAAGAATACAGGAAATGAGTCAATACTGATATTTTAAAATTGAAAAAAATGGAGAAGAAAAGAAAAATCTCAGAATTTCCAGTAGTTTATGCAGCTTTTCTCCTAAGGGAAATAAGCTTAATTCCACACACCTTAAACGTGGGCTGTGCTTATAAAGATAGATGGGGGAGTAAATCTAATAATGGAAATAATTGACCGATGCTGCCTACGTAGAAGACCAAGGGTAGTATCAGCAATGACCAGTCACACTGACAGTGTAACTGCCCCCTTGCTATGATATGACGAGAAGGGCACATCACTTCTGTGGTCCTCCCCCCAAACTCACTACCCATTCTAACCCAGAGAATAACATCAGACGGGTCTCCGCTGAAGGATATGCTAGGAATTACAAAATAGTTGATCAGGAAACTCTGAGAAACTGTTACAGACCAGAAGATACTAGAAGCAGTCATTGAGCTACTCCTGAAGAGCAAATATAGTCCCACAAGAGGAAATGGAGGAACAACATACTAACTGCAGGACCAGCCCCATCGAAGTACTCAGACAGAAAGGTAGCATAAGCCTCCGTGCATTCGTGAGAAATGCAGCGTGCAAGCGTGGCAAAGGTATTTTGGCAGCAAACAGTTGCGGGCAGCCGTGGCAGCAACGCGGCCAGTAGCCTGTAGGGGGCGCTTTTCCCAGCGTCTCCCCCCACCCCACCACCGGGTCCCTGCCGGTTTGCGCCTGCGCAAAGTTTCGGTGACGCCGAGAGGAAGCGAAGCCATCTGCGACTGCGCAGTCCCCGACTGAGACGATGGCAGCTGCCGCCTGGTGGGGTTGGGGAGCTGCAGCCGCTGCTGCTAGGCTGCGCAGGCGGTAGGTGACGGCCCCGGAATGTGAAATAGGGGTGTTGCTGACCTTAGCGGAGCGATCACCGCCTCCCCGACCCTCTGTCAAGGGGAGAAGAGTTAGTGCATCTTAGGAGCCCGAGGCCTGCCCCGCCCCGGCGTGCAGTCGGCTTCAACCCTGAGGTGGCGGCTGTGGGCGGCGCAGCCGGACGCCTCTACTTCGAGCGGACTCCGCAGTCTCCTCCCGACTGCTTGGGTCCGGAGGAGGCTCGGAGACGCTGTAGAGACAGAAGGAAAGCACCAACTTTAAATTGTGTGCCTCTAGGCCTTCCATCGCGTGCATTCATTCCCTGTGTCGTAACACAATGGCAGGTCGCTTCGAAGGGGGAAAATACTCAGTCTCCCTGCCTCCCTGCACCAGTGAGGCCCGGGGAGGTAACGGGTCGCGCCCAAGTCACGCCTTCTAAATGATGGAGCTCGGAGGAGAATCCAGACCTGAGGTCGCCACCAGTGCCCTTTAATACCTCTCGGTCCTCCGTTTTTATCGCCTTCCCTGAGCCCTTTGAGTTCCAGTGAAGACACTTGTTCGTGAAGACACTTGTCAGCATCGGTTAGAGGATTTATGTAGGTGTCTGACCCTCACTTCTGGAGAAAAAGGCCTGTCTACGAGTTTGACCTTTTGGGTATTCAAAGTTCTAGTTTTAATGGTGCTCTTGAAGTTTAAGTGCCTTTCCTAGAACTACTAAGTTTACCGAAAAAATACTATGTTAGTTACACCTTCTCTCCCTGTCTTCCTTGAGTAATATAACTCACTTCATCAGAGTATGCTTCTGATTTATCCACTCTACTGCTTTTTCCCTGGATTGAAGGGACAGTAACACTGTTCTTGCAGTATACAGTATTTCCAAATTCTAGAGTATTTGTAGGGTGATTCTTGGGCACACACTTACATAATATTGGTAGTAGCTATCATTTATTGATTATATGGATATATCATCCCTGCCTTTACGAGTAGCTTTGATTTTTTTTTTTAAGAGGGTCTCACTGTGGGGGCTGGGGAAGCTAGTTCAGGCTGGTCCTGAACTCAGAACAGTCCTCCTGCCTCAGCCTCCCCAGTGCTGTGATTACAAGTGCGCCACAATACCCGGTCTTTTGATGAATATTAGCCTTTGTCTATTAACCCCATTAAGAAATGAAGAATTAAGATCATAGTGCTGGCTGCTGGGGACAGAGAAGTGAACACAGTCTCTTCCCTTAATGAGTTCCCAGTCTAGAAAGAGGAACATTAGCAAATAATGAACTCATAAGTGCTGTAAT